TTTGAAAGCCAGATTCTTTTTTATCGTGATCTGGAGCGGGAAATAAACTCTGAACCAGAGTGCATCACTGTGGGAGCCTTAGCTTTATTTACAGGTAAGATTACGTTTTTAATATTGTAAATTTGACAACGTGGAACTGATTTTATGATAATAGCTAACCTCTGAACTTGCTTGTGTTTTTCTCTTTGTTTAAGATCCCATAAAGCTGTCTCTGACTGTGGAAACTAAGAATTGGGTGGCGGACTACGGACTCTACTGTAACAGGGAATATCACTCAAAAATGGAGCAGATCTTTGGTTTTATTGATGAAGCAGGAAAAAAACTGAATCGACCGATCAACGACCTGGATGACATTCGCATTGTCATGGCTGCTCTCAAGGAGATTAGAGAGCGACAGATCGACATTGACTGCTTAGTTGGGCCAGTTGAGGTAAACCAGTCATCCATTACTTATTTATTGTTTTTATCATTTGGTTATTTTTGATCTCTCTCTCTCTCTCTCTCTCTCTCTCTCTCTCTCTCTCTCTCTCTCTCTCTCTCTTTCTCTTTCTCTTTCCTTTTACCCATAATGCCCATGATGAAAGAGAGCTTAAGTAGACAAGTAAAGCTCTGAGTAGATCTGTGAATGCACTGGGAATGTTTATAAAGAAAAGTAAGCAGTCTTAACAAGCACTAATCTCAGCTGCTGCTTTATGATTTACGACCACTGCCTATTTTATTGTTTTTGAAAAAAAAAAAGCAAAGAAAAATGGCCTTGGCCTTATGTTTGGAACTTGCTGTGAATTAAAATGTATCCTGCAGCTGAAAACCCCTCTAATGAAAGAGAGGCATTGGGCATAGTGACATGTGCTGCTGCTAATTCTCTGCAGCTGGGATTTTAATATTGCTTCATGTTCATTAGTCCAGTGGATCAACAGGAAAGCTGAGCTCACCTGTGACCAAAGTTTCTCTTTCAAAATAAGATAGATGAGTGGAAACATTTTTATTTTTTATGGGAAGGTGGTGAGCGGTAGGTGTTCAGTCAAATACAGAAAACACTGGAAAAAGGTGCCAGTGTACGAAAAAAAGACATTGGTCTGCACAATATTTGGGAAAAAACCCAGACATTGTGATTTATTTCTAACCCTGCGATATGTATTGCATTATGAATAAAACAGTAGTTTTCAACAGATGACTTGATTGACACTATAGTTTTTAACATAACCATATTTGACCTTTTTTTCCTCTAGTTCTCTGCGAATTTGTTCATCATAGTTTTCATCAAGATCTTCATCATCTCCCTCCACAGCTTAAAAATTCACCAACGACACTTCTCCCAAAAAGCGTTGCCATTATTGTCCCAGACGTTTCACAACAAAATGAACATTTTAGATTTTTTTTAGATGAAGCCACCCACTCCTGCCAGCTGAAGCAACCCTTCAAAATAAAAGCTGTTACATGTGACTGTTAGTGGTTTAGTCCTTAAATACTGTAACACATTGATTTAATTTGCCTCCTACATCGCAGGACCTGCAGTGTGACTTGTGCACACATACATCGCAATGACAATGCTCAAACAATATATCATGCACCTCTACAAAACAGTCACATTATTTTTCAATTTTTATAATTTTAACTGTTCAGAATTCACTGCCCATTCCTAGTATGCAATTTTATTGTTAATGTCATAGTCTGTAGGTGTTTACAGAAGAGAGTTTTATTTTATGGTTTACTAAATTAGTGGTTTTTTTTTTTTTTGGTTGTGTTGTCTGCTTTTTAACTGCATTTACTGTACTTCATTAAAACCTTTTTTAGATTGAATCAGAGGCAGTGTAGCTGAAAGTTAGGAAGTGAAACTTTCACATTTTATATTACCTGATTCCGTTCTAGCATGATTATACAAATTAAAATTTGCTCTGAGCATGTCAGACAAAATGCTTTTCCCCTCCTCACAGGAGTCCTATGCCATGCTTCATAAACATGAACTGTCAGTGGCCAAAGGAGAAGTTGATAAGGTGGACACTCTGCGATACACCTGGGAAAAGCTGCTGTCCAGGTCAGTGGAGGCTCAGAACGAGTTATTTGACCTGCAGCCACGCTTCAGACGAGAGCTTGTTAGCAACGTGAAGACTTTTCAAGAGGACTGCCACCACTTTTACCAAGAATATGAGAAGGTAAAAACAATAGTGATATGGCAAAACGTACACAGCAAAAACAGGAGTGTTAAAATTTCAGTGTTAAACTTTTGGGTGTTGATTTAACACCCCCTAGTGTTATTTTAACACTTTCTGAGTAAACTGACACCCAGTGTTGGTGTTAATTCACAGTGTTGATTTCCTCAGTGTTGTCTCAACACTGGACAGTGTTAAATAAGGTCCACCCACTGTTAAGTCTTGTTTAACACTTAACAATGTTGTTATACAACACCATGCAGTGTTGAAAGTATTATTCTGAAAAGCCCCGCCCTCTTCCACCTCAAGTCAGACAGACCAGTATTTTTTCAGCAAGGAATGCTGGGTAATCTTGTAGAAATTATGTGTTTGTATGTTTATGACTAAAAAAGTTCATGAGAGTAAAAATGAGTTGTTCTGTTTAGTTGTCTTGTTCAGTTTGATCAAGTTGTTCAACTTTAAGTTTGTGTTATTGGCCATACATCGACACCATGAGTGAGAGGTACTTCCTGGTGTGTGAAGGGTGACTCCATGACTCTGTCACCATAAGTTTCTTTGTTAATAATAATACACTGGTGTTACTTTTAACTCTTTATTTTAACACTGTTGAAATGTTAATGTGACACCCAATATTGTGGAATATTAAACACTGGTTGGTGTTAAATTAACAAAAAAAAATGCATGCTAAAATTTAACACTTTCACAAATCTTATTTTGACACCAGCGAGTGTGGACACATATCGACACTTTGTTGGTGTTGAAATTAACACTGTGGGTGTTAAATTAACACTGGCATTTTTTGCTGTGTTCCTGTTCCAGTCAAATAATACTTTAAAACAGATAAAAAAAAAAACATTTTTCTCTCTGCTTCAGGATGGGCCTATGGTGGTGGGGTTAGCTCCTCAGGATGCCAGTGAMAGATTGATCATGTTTCAGGTCAGTGCTGCAGAATATATAGACCAGATAAATTATTTGTTTTCTCATAAAATGGCTGCAAAATAATACTATGTTGGCTGAAATTAGCTGTTTTATTGATTAAAACTGACAGATCTGCTACTTTGGAAAATGTATTTGACCAAAAATCTGAAATAGGAGATAATCATGGCTGCTATATGATAATATATGTAATATTTAGTACCATTATGTTGTAAATGAATGGGTTTTGTTGTTGTACCTTTCAGAATCGATTTGACAATCTGTTCAGGAAGTATATCACTTACACTGGAGGAGAGGAGTTGTTTGGACTTCCTGTTACCCAGCATCCTCAGCTGTTGGACATAAAAAAACAACTAGCTTTGCTGCAAAAACTGTATGGCCTTTACAACAACGTCATCGAAACAGTCAATGGTTACCATGACATCCTCTGGTCCGACATCAACATTGAGCGGGTCAATAATGAGCTGCTTGACTTTCAGACCAGGTTAGAAATCTTTTTTCTTTATATTTGTCCTAAAATCAAATAGAAATAACCTAGGATTAAACAGTTTTAGACTCTTTTGTGCTGTTCTGATGTTAAATTGGTTATTTTAATAGAAATTAGGCTAACGTAAATGTCAAAACAAAAAAGCTTATCTGTGTAAACTGGGAGCACAAATGGTATTCAAGGTGCCATGTCGCAAACTATCATCAAAAGGGTAACCTTTCAGCTCCATAATTACCATGTAGTTACCAAGTAATTACATAATAATAATAGTATATTACTATTTAGCACTAGTTTTACTAGGTATTTCAATCAAATTATGGTTTAATAGTACCTAAATTACCCACTATTTAACAACATATTATGAAGTAAATCTCCAAGTAAGTGGGTAATCACAATAAAATAAACAATCCCTGAATTATCTACTATTTAATGGTGTACAACTTTGACCAAAATATGCATAAATAACTTCATGAAAAAAAAAGAAAAGATCTGTACTGTGATTTCCTCTGGTTTGACTGTTCTGCTTATCTTAAAATCCCTCCCACTGTAATCACTTTAAAAATTGTTTCTCAATAATTCCCTTTTCTCTATTTTTTTCTGTAGGGTACTTTGATACAACATGTGTGCATGACATCATTTGAGGTCTAAACATTGTTATTTTTCCTGCTTGAAAATGAAAGAAATGCTACAGCTTGCTACTGCTGTTACTTGCACCCGGACATAATTATAAAAAAAAAGTTAATGGCTATGTAAAAAGTAGCATTCCTCAAATTTTCCCCAAACTGATGTTATTTAAAGTTCTACTTTATCTACAGTTGTTTGAACCTTTTCACAGTACCTCATTTTAATAGAGCTGAACTATAACTTTCTTTGCACAGTTGCATACCTGTGATGATGCATGGGCACGTGTGAACTAATTTTGTAGTAGTAGTAGTTTATTCATTTCATTTGAAATACAAAATTAACAAAGTTAAAAAAACATAAAATCAAAATGAAATCAAATGAAATGAAAGGATGCAGAAGACAAATAAATCTTATCATATCTGCCCTTTTTTATACCCAAAATATTTTCAAAAGAAAAGTAAAATACAATAAAAATTCAAAACAACTTAAAACACTTAAAATGAATTAAAAGCAAAAATTAAGACACCAACTCAAACAACATTTAGCATGAATTCACTTATAATTCTCCATATTTCTTCAGAATACTGTTTTTTAACATTTTCTTCATTATATACAAGGTTCTGGCATTTTTAACCTCATCTATGCTGTTCCACAATCTTATTCCCTGGATTAAAGTTGATCGCTCCTTCAGGCTCGTACGAACCCAAGGTTTCACAAACATTTCAATTCCTTTAAGATAATAATAGCTCTCTCTTTTAACAAAATTTACCTGAATGTTGGAAGGTTAGACACCTTTATGAGCTCTGTACATTAACAGTAAAATATTATAATCAACCAAATCATAGAATTTTAATAATTTCAAGTCAAGAAAAAGTATATTAGATGGATGGCTGTAATTTTTCTAGTAATAACTCTTATAGCTCTTTTCTGTAAAATGAAAATAGGATTTGCGATATTTTTACAAGCTTTACCCCATACTTCAATACAGTAAATTAAATGTGGAACAATTACAGCATTATACAACATAAACAGTGCTTTATCGTTGAAAAGTTCTCTTACAGTACTCCAAACGATTTGGCCATTTTTGTTCTTAAACAATTTATATGATTTTTCCATGTCAGTTTTTTATCAAAATGACACCTAGAAACTTCACTTCACTGACTCTACAGATCTCTACATCATCAGTTTTAAATGAAATGTCTATAGTTTCTTTATTGTTACAGAAAATCATATAATTTGTCTTGTCCAAGTTCAATGATAATTTATTAAGTTGAAACCAACCTTGTATTTTCATAAATTCTGTCTGAATCATGTCCAACATTTGTTTTATATCTTTACCGGAACAAAAGAATGTTGTATCATCAGCAAATAGAACAGACCCAAAAAGATCTGATACATTTACCAAATCGTTCACATACAAAATAAATAACTTAGGTCTGAGAATGGAACCCTGCGGCACTCCACGAGATGTTACAAAACTCAGATCTTACATTATTTATTTCTACATATTATTTTCTATCTTCCAATTACTGTAACTAGATACCCACTGTAATGCATGTCCTCTAATATCATATTTGTTTAACTTTTCAAAAAGAAAACTATGGTTAATAGTATCAAACGCTTTTTTAAATCAACAAAAATACTGATACAATACTTTTTGATCAACAGCAGTTGTTATATGTTCTATTAAAATGAGAGCCATCGATGTAGAATTTTTTGGTCTAAACCCATACTGACTGTAACTTAATATATTCTGCTTATCAATGAATTTGTCCAATCTAATCACAAATAACTTCTCCAAAATCTTTAAAATTTTTGGTAAAAGGGATATTGGTCTGTAGTTGTTAAACACTTGTCTTTCACCATTTTTAAAAAGAGGAATTACCTTTGCTATTTTCATGTTGTTTGGAAATATACCAGTTGAAAATGATAAATTACAGATGTATGTAAACGGTTCAATCACTGTATTCATTATGTCTTTTACAAACATCATGTCCATGTCAACCCAGTCGTTTGATCTCGTCTGAAAGATTTTTAACAATACTCATCTWAATTTCTTTACAAGATGACAAATGTGGAATGTATCATACTTCTTCTGCCATAACCAAACAAAATTATACAATAACATTTAAAAAGTGGTAATTTATACATATAATCAAATTTATCTTGATTCATTACTCCATATATTATAACAGACGCACACACAGACATGTTCCACACTGTCTTTTTAAATGTGATTGTATATTTTCTCAATTCAAAATGTAATTTCTTGCTCTTGTGCTAAGAGCAACTGCTTGAATTGGACATCAACTGATAGAGTATAATTTTAAATCAGTCTGGTTCTTAAGAGAACAAGAACACATCTTTCTCTGAGCTTAAATATTTGCTAATTTTGAAATAAACTACTAGCTATGTTTTTTTTCACTTTTGCACTCTCTAAACTAAAAGATGCCGCAAGCTGCCTCATGCTCTCAAAGAGTGGCAGGCTTTCCATGACCTGAAGAAATCCATTGATGAATTCAGTGAGTGCTGCCCCCTGTTGGAGCTTATGACCAACAAAGCTATGATGACGCGCCATTGGAAGAGAATTACTGAGGTCAGTAAAACACAACGTGTCTGTCTAGACTTTAAATAAAGTCATCACTCATGTCAACCCTTGTTTAGAGGAAGTTGTATTTTTTTATGATTTTTGGGTCTAGGTGACTAGCCATACCTTTGAAGTGGAAAGCGATACATTCAAGCTGCGGAACATTATGGAAGCTCCTCTGCTCAAATTTAAAGAAGATATTGAGGTAGGAATAAAAGAGCAAGCTTTTGCAGAAAAGCAGTACTGTTGAAGTCAAGTTTACACAACTCATATCTATGGCTATACGATTAAACACACAACTTCAGTAACTTTTAAAAATAAAACTTTGAACAAACTGGAATTTATCACATTTTTTTTATTCACACACTATCTGAATTATATATACCTGTTCAAATAAATGCTTTTAACCCCATATCCTTTGATTAACTATCCTTCAGCAAGTTGCAACTCAACCTCAGACTTTATATAGCCAATATCAAGCTTTTAGCATAAATCTGACTGCACATTTTGACAGAACTGATAAAGTTCATTGACAGTGTTTATTTTCCTGGCACAAAACCAGCTTTAAAGTATGGTTCATGAATTATGAAAAGATTTGATTTTGGAGCTTTATTTTAGCCTGACTCAACAATTTATAAACTAGTTTTGATGTGTTTGGGATCACTGAGCTGTAGAAACACCTACCTGGGTCTAAGTTCAGTTGATCTGAGATCAAGCTGATGTGTTTGGATGTGATTTTTCTGCATTATTCCATCCACATCATGCAATGCACCTGTGCACAGCATGATGGATGTACCACCACTCTTTTTGACAGAGTGTGTTTTTAGGTTTTAAATTCTCACCTTCCAAACTTGCATTCTGTCATTGCAGCCAAAGAGCTCAGTTCTTGTCTTGTTTGATTGTAGAATGTTCTCCAGATGGCATTTGGCTTGTCCATGTAGTGATTTAAACATTTTTGTAATGTTTGAAAGTGTTGTTTTTGGAACTAAAACCATTTATTCAGTAACTTTATCTCAGTCCATGGTGATTTAAAACTTGCTTCACTTTGAACAGTGTACCTAGTGTTTTCTCAGTTTCTAGTTTGATACCTATGAGTTTTGAAGGCATACCATACATAACCACACATTAACCTACTTTCATATTATAATTGTTAAACTTCTGGGGGAAAACAACTCTACAGGTTTTATGACATATAGCTTTGAAAGTTCAACAACAGAACACCCTTCAGTTTCAGACAAGAGACTCCATTCTTCCCAATCACACCCCTCCAGGTTACACTGTCACCCACGTGGGCATTGAAGTCCCCCAGCAAAATAAGAAGGTCCCCGGCTGGAACAGCCTGCAGAACTCCTCTTTAATAGATCTGAACTATTCCTTTAGGAAAAATGCATTTATGAAAATTAATTGTTTTTTTTTTACATTCTTTGACCACTTTTTTCATGCCTTTCAAGTATTTTTCATGCATTTAACAATTGTTGGGACATGTTGCTTTAAAGGACATCTGCATCAGTTCTGGAAAAGAACGAAACATTGAGCAGAAACTGAAACAAGTGATCGCTGAGTGGGACAACAAGACTTTTACGTTTGCAAACTTCAAGAACCGTGAGGAGCTGCTGCTGAGAGGAGACAGCACATCAGAGATCATTGCCAGCTTGGAGGACAGTCTGATGATTTTGGGGTCTCTCATGAACAACAGGTAATGTCTGTGTGGATCTTCATAATCGGTGTTTGGAATTTGATGAGAGGGATAAAATTAAAAGGTTCTTCTCCTGAAGGCATTAGAAGTATAATTGGATTCCCTTATTAACTGAACAGCAGCCACAGAGTTGTGTGTCTCACTGCTTGATTTTCATGCAGATTTCACTTCTGTCTCAGGTACAACACCCCGTTTAAAGCTCAGATACAGAAGTGGGTTCAGAACCTTTCCAACACCACTGTTATTATTGAACACTGGATGACCGTTCAGAACCTATGGATCTATCTGGAAGCTGTATTTGTGGGTGGAGACATTGCCAAACAGCTGCCCAAGGTAAAATAAGGTTATAATAGTCATTCTTAATAAATGCTCAAAAATCTGAGGAATAGCAAAAATGTAGTGACCATTTAGTGCAAAGATTTATTCCAAATTTGATTACTGTCATCTTCTCTTCTTTATACAAAAGCTAGCATTAAATGAGAATGTCTAATTTCTAGATCACAACTTAGCCTTAATGTTTTGTTTGTTTTGCAATTATTTGCATTAGTGTTCAAGATCAAGATTTAAAAATCAGTCAGTTACATTGTTCTTTTGAATGTATTGACACAAACCTTCATGATGTTTAAATCAGTGTTTAGCAAGTATAAATGATAATGTAATTTATGAGTGCTTGAATCTTCAGGAAGCAAAGCGCTTCTCCAACATTGATAAGTCATGGGTGAAGATCATGAGGCGAGCCCATGACATGCCTAACATCATTCAGTCTTGTGTGGGAGATGAGACTATGGGGCAGCTGCTTCCTCACCTGCTTGAACAGCTGGAGATTTGTCAGAAGTCACTTACAGGGTGAGCAAAATCCAGTCAAACCACAGAGAGCCAAATGGTGGTTTGACACATTTGTAATTAAAAACAAATAAGTGCTGGAAAGAAACAAACATTTCATGTTTCCATGCTAACAATTGTGTATTTTCAGTTACTTAGAGAAGAAGCGACTCTTGTTTCCTCGTTTTTTCTTCGTATCTGACMCTGCCCTGCTGGAAATCCTGGGCCAGGCCTCAGACTCCCACACCATCCAGGCCCACCTGCTTAATGTTTTTGACAACATCAAATCTGTTCGATTCAACGATAAGGTGATATCTGATTATACTTTTATTATTGTTTATTGTTGTTTGTTTGTGACAGATTAGGGCTACAGAAAAGNGACCCTGCCCTGCTGGAAATCCTGGGCCAGGCCTCAGACTCCCACACCATCCAGGCCCACCTGCTTAATGTTTTTGACAACATCAAATCTGTTCAATTCCATGATAAAGTGATTATCTGATTATACTTATTATTTATTGTTGTTTGTTTGTGACTGATTAGGGCTACAGAAAAGTATCCTTTTTTGTAGAATTTAAAAGTCATAGGATGAAAAAAAGAGATGTTTAAAACAAACAAAAATGAGAATTTACTCAACTGAGTTGTGTGAAATATTTAATATGTATTGTTTTATATGCAAAATATATTTACGTTTAAATAAATAACAAAAAAACAAGTTAGATATTCTCCTAATAAGTCTCTTTACTCCAGGTATATGACCGAATTCTGGCTATATCATCGCGTGAGGGAGAGACTGTGGAGCTCGAGCGTCCGTTCATGGCAGAAGGGAATGTCGAAGTGTGGCTGAACGCTCTTCTGAAGGAATCCCAGCGGTCATTACACCTGGTGATCAAACAAGCAGCTTTGGCCATCCAGGACTCAGACTTCCAGCTCATCGACTTCATCAACTCCTTCCCTGCTCAGGTGAGTTATAACAGTTATGTAAAGATCCCCAAGAAGCCTCATCCCTGCTGGCAAAAGAAACAAGTACAAGAGCTTAAAACTAACAACATGTACAATTTACACCCCTAATTGGAATTGTAAGTATAATTTCTGTAATGCAATTTAACAACACTGAATTACTAATTACATTAAGTTATTGAAACTTTTGACCATTACGTGATCAAATTTCCAATGATGACAATATTATTTTAAACCCAGGTGGGCTTGCTTGGTATCCAGATGATATGGACAAGGGACTCTGAGAAGGCTCTGACCAATGCCCGGTTTGATCGCCGCATTATGGCTAAAACCAATCAGCTTTTCCTCGACCTGCTTAATACACTGATTGGCATGACCACACGAGATCTGGATGCTGTGGAGAGAACCAAATATGAGACTCTTATAACTATTCATGTCCATCAGAGGGACATATTTGATGATCTGGTGAGTATGCTGATATTACTCCATAAATAAAGCAGATACATTGGTATCCCTACATTATTAGACTTTATTAAACTGTTTAATAGACTGAAAGTGGTTATAGCAGAGTACTAATTGATATTTTTTAATGTCTTAAAACCTCAAAGTATTTTTAATGGTACCAAATGATCTTGACACATGAAAGGGTTCGTTTGAGTTTTCACTGCAGACACTTTGGTGTTTTGTTTTTTTATTTTATTTTTTTATCTTAAATCCCCTCGTAAATATGTTAATTATTTCTCATTTTCTATTTTTTCTTTTGCTCCTGTCTTATTCAGTGTTTCTGAACAACGTTTTGTCCTGTCATCTTTACTCAAATAATACTGTACAACATTTCCTCCCTGTTGCCTGTCTTCTACAATCCCTCTGCTTCTTTCCAGTGGTTGCTTTTCTCCATTAAGTATTTTCAAATTGGTGATCTATGATTTTTCTTTCTCCTAGTGTCGGTTGCACATCAAAAGCCCAAATGACTTTGAGTGGCTGAAGCAGTGCCGTTTCTACTTCAGTGAGGACTCAGACAAGATGATCATAAACATCACAGATGTGGGCTTTGTTTACCAGAATGAGTTCTTGGGCTGCACAGAAAGGCTTGTCATTACGCCTCTGACTGACAGGTGAAAAGGTCATTTAAAAAAGTAGGCATGCAACATTAGAATTGGAAAGTTGTTTGTTTTTTATGAATCTAGATCTAAAATGCTGCATTTTATTTGCACTTACTGTGTATTTTCAACTACAAAATCAACAGAAAATGAAATTAAATGAAGCAAACAATCTACTCCAAAACTCTTAAAACAAAGCAACTTTTAGGTTTGTGTTTGTTTTCTACACCAAAGGCCTCTGCAGAGTTGGCTAACCTCGCCAATCTGCAAATTTTAAACAGCATTTCTGATAGTTTCCCCATGTTGGGATCTGCTTTTGTTTTGCAGGAGTTTTTCAATACTTTTGAAGGATTTGTAAATTTTCTCCCAAAAGACTTCAAAAGTCATGGTGGGCTCCAAGAGTCCHTCTAGAATTGTTCTCAGTTATACTGTGAATGAGATGACGTTGAGAGGGTTTGTTGACTTAGGAAAACTATATTCTTTAAAATGTCACAATTAAAACATTAAAAACACTGACTAAATTGCAACAAATAAATTTGCCTGATTAAATTGCGTTGGCATCGGCCTACAAAATTAAATACACACCCTAAACAGAAAACTGTAAATGGAGTAAACGATTACCACAAAACAATTAAGATTTTTAAAGCTTCTGTTGCAAAATAATATCTTGGATGTGAGAAGCAGCCCTGGGATTTGGAGCACAGTAGACTGAGTCTGGAGGGAGCAGCAGACATTATTTAGTGATCATCACCTCTGTCACTCACAGAGGTTGTGACTGAGAGACTAAAAAATGACACTGGGTGTAGGGAAGAAATGTTGTCAAACTAATGCTCATAAATAGAAAACTGAAAGGACAGCAGCAGGGAGGGACTAACAGACATCTGACAACAGTTGTCTGAAAAAGTGACAGGTTGGTTTTATGGTTGAAGGCACCAAAGTAGCCCTGGTTTTCACACTGATAGTTCCAACCTTTATCTTTTCTTGCTGTCTTCTAAACAAAATCGAACATTTGGAAGCAGTTGTTGTAGATTTTGTTAAAAATCTAAGGTCCTTTTGCCAGTCAACCTTCTCACTAACGTATCTTTAAACTAACTCCATTCGCATCAGGAGTGTGTTCTGTAGCTGTTCTCAACCTCCACCCTCCAAAAGAAGAATGATATTGCAGTGTTTTATGCACGAACATAGAAAAGCAGAGGCTGTTTAGAGGATGTGATCAAATGATAATTTAAAAGGATTACTTTTAGCATTGAAACTGAAACATGTCTATGCATGTGTCAACCTTTTTTCAGATGTTACATCACCCTAGCCCAGGCTCTTGGTATGAGTATGGGTGGAGCCCCTGCAGGTCCTGCAGGCACAGGTAAAACTAACAAGAATTTTTTACATGTAGATTTATTTAGATTGTTTCAATGGGGCTTCATATAGCACTGGTGTATTGTTGAAGATTAAAAATAGGGGAAAGCATTCAGATCTTGCAGATAGATGGATAGATGGATTGATGGATAGATAGAACTTTATTGATCCCACAGTGGGGAAATTTGAACATTACAGCAGCTCAAGACAGTGGAGCAACAGTAACAAGCTGCCTGCCATGGTGCCAACTTAGAAACAAAGAAAAACTGAACATCACACAAGGGAAGGAAAGATGAGGAAAAAAGCCATACATCATATTATATCAACACTGTGACACACTGTGGTGTTTATGAAAAAAAAAACTCTACATAGAGCAAGTTTTTAGCCAGAGGAGTAAGTGAGTTTAAGGAGACCTGAAGAATCCAGTCCCAAAGCCAGCGCAGCCAAAGTTCAGAATATTGATGGTAAATTGTTCATTCTGTAGGCCCTCATATTTCTCAGAGATCATCATCATCATCATTATCATCATCATTATCATCATCATCATCATTGTTTATTTATAAAGCACAGTTAAAACCAAAGTGCTGTACAGGAGCATAAAATAAAAACAATGAACAAAGTACAGTAATAAAATGAACAATAAAATCAAAGAAAACATCAAAGGCTGGCCTAATGATCCTGCTCTTCAGACTCAAATGCCTGTTTAAACAGATGAGTTTTTAACAGAGACTTAAACTCATTTAGAGACCCAGCAGACCTCACAGACAGTGGGAGATTGTTCCAGAACCGAGGTCCTGCAACTGAGACCTGGGAACAACTAACAGCTTTTGATTTACAGATCTCAGGGATCTATTTGGATCAGATCATACGGGTGAAGGAGGAGGGAGGAGGGGGGGGGGCGTGTCGACATGTTCCAACCAGGAAGGATTTAGACAACAGTCAAGGCTGTTGCCAGGGGAGATCCAGATTCTCTAATCAGTTGTTTTGGGAACAGAGGGGACAGGCAGATGATAAGCAATTTTCCCTCTGCCTTAGTGTCTGCTGGGACTCTCAAGGTGGCAAATCCAATCAGGCAAAATGGTGTGGACACATACCGCCGAGCCGATTCATCAGCTTTCTCCAAGATGAATTTCATCTGGCCAGCAAAGTCCAGGGACCACATCCGGCCCGTGACCCTCAATAGAACCGCTTGCAGACCGAGTCCAGCTCGCTCAAGGCCCAATGTCCGAGTGCTGATAGAATACAGCCGTCCATCCAGTTGGTCAGTCAGCCAGAAAGTGCAAAGCCACCGACGCTGTTTTGTAGAACACCAGGAGACCACCCAGCCAAACTGCAGAATACAGTGATCGGAGTCCAAATGTATATCCAGAACAGAGAAGAACAGAGGTCCCACCTTTAACGTGTCCTCCCATGGAAGAAGGAAAATAAACTTTGTTCCAAAAATTTTATTGAAAGACCAGCTAACCAAGTCCATAAAAATAAAAATATCCATAATTTCTAGTCTCGGACGAAAAATGTAGAGAAGGCTCCAACAGCAAAGCAGGAAAGATAAGGCAGGGTCGGAGAGAAGGGAGAACCGTCTTACTCCTTTGAGAGCGGAACAAAAAAAATAAAAATAAAAAATACAGTGCATCATGTCACAGTAACAGTGATGTGAAATGAACAAGTTTTTATTTTTTCAGTATTTAAGTGATGCCAAAAATATTACTTTAGTACAAAAGAAGAAAACTGTTACCTTCCTGTTAGAGAATTTTCTGCCATAAACTGTGCCATTGTTTTGTGTCTATGAGCAATAAATCTTCTGTTATTAGGAAAGACTGAGACCGTGAAGGACATGGGTCGCTGTCTGGGAAAATATGTTGTGGTTTTCAACTGTTCTGACCAAATGGACTTCAGAGGCTTAGGAAGAATATTCAAAGGTAAATGTTATAAAGGTGATTCCTAAATACCACAGAAATGAATGGTTTATTTTCTTGTTTTCCTAAATGAGTCAGAGATTAAGAATATCAAATATTAATGCTTTAACATAAATGAAACATTTACCCTGTTTGATTTTTAGGTCTGGCTCAGTCTGGCKCTTGGGGATGCTTTGATGAGTTCAATCGCATTGACCTCCCCGTTCTGTCGGTAGCCGCTCAGCAGATTGCAATAGTTCTGACCTGCAAGAAGGAGCGTCGAAAAAACTTTATCTTCACTGATCGAGACAGTGTTGACATGAATCCTGAGTTTGGCATTTTCCTCACGATGGTCAGTGACACTACAACAGTATCATTTCAAAATCAGATGATTTTTTTTACACCACCATTGGTAAATCTTATGTACAGTAGAGCATTTTTACCTTATCTTTAGTACATACATCCCAGATTTTATTTTTTTGGCACATTTGCTAATCTTATAATTGTCCTTCATTCAACTTTGTTGAGTACTCTGGTGCTGCTGTGCTCACTGTCTAAGGAAAATAATTTTTCTTCATGGACTATTTCCAAAAATATACACAATTTTACAACTTCATGAGAATGAATGGAAAAAAGCTTGTGAGGAACTGACCAAGAACGTTTGTACATTATTTAAACTCAGGCTCTGCTTTAAATAATACTGCCTACTGTTTGTTATCATACTGTTCACATAGTAATGCTTTGATTGCTTTAGCTTCTGGTCAAGTCCCAAGGCAAGCATGGAAGGGCAAAGAAAAGTTCTTTCCTGTGGTTAGCGGGATCAGAGATCTATTTTTACTTTGTGTGAATGTAGGACAGGCAGCTAGAAAATGATGACAGAGTTATGTCCACTGGAAATTAAAATTAACCAGAGAACATGAACTAGTTTTGTTTTCATTTATGGTTATTATAGGTTCATTTAGTCATTGTATCCAGTTTGTGCTTTTAGAACACAGCAGCAGGTGCTCATTTTTAAATCATCACAACTTGTCTATATTGTTGTGCTCAGAATCCAGGYTATGCAGGTCGCCAGGAGCTTCCTGAAAACCTGAAGATCAACTTCCGCTCTGTAGCCATGATGGTTCCTGATCGCCAGATCATTATTAGAGTGAAACTGGCCAGTTGTGGGTTCATAGACAACATAGAGCTGGCTTGCAAGTTCTTTACTCTTTACAAGCTGTGTGAGGAGCAGCTCTCTAAACAGGTAAAACAAAGAAAACAGCAAACCGTAATTTATTTGTGCTTTTATTTAAGAACCAAGGTGTACCGTAATGATTCAAACATGGAAGAGTTTTCTAAGTTTTCCAAGATTTCTTTCTGTACTACTTGTTAATTCCATATGGCAAGCAGTATAATGCTTGTACACTTGTTCTTGGTCCATGTTTTGCAGTCTGTCACTTGCATACAGCGTAAATACATTGAATGGTTTTCCAGACTGACATTGGACACTCAAATGTCAAAGTAACTCCAGAAGAAATGTTTTCGACATTCTGTATGTGAGCTGAAAACAGTCAAAGATGCTGTGTTTTATTGTCCAGGTTCACTATGATTTTGGGCTGCGGAACATTYTGTCAGTTCTGCGAACGCTTGGAGCTGCCAAGCGAGCCAACCCCAATGATACCGAATCCACCATTGTCATGAGGGTTCTGAAGGACATGAACCTTTCTAAACTGGTCAGTCTCGAAAATTTACAGCATATTAAATAAATAATTATATTACTTTTATTTTTTATTTAAGATTAATAGGCTTTAGAATTTGTACGTAAAAAAATAAACAACAAAAACAAGTTTAATGTTTTGATTTTATTTAAAAATGCAATGCAGTGTCCATAATAACATTCATTTACAACCAACAGTTCTTGGCTTCAATTCTGTGTTACTGTATGTCCTTATGTGTGTTTATAAGATTGATGAGGATGAGGAACTCTTCCAGAGCTTGATTGAGGACCTTTTCCCAGGAATACAACTCGATAAAGTAGGCTACCCGGAGCTTGAGGCTGCCATTGACAAACAGGTAAGAGCAGCAACGCATCAGCTTTTCTGTGTTTCCTAAAAGAAATCAAACATTGTAGGAATAATGTACTTATAAAATGTAGTTGAACAAAAAAGAAAAGGAACAAGGACTTAGGAAAAAGTAAGAAAGGGTATAAAGGGTAAAACAGAAATAAAAAGGCTGAGTGAATTTGGACAAAAGCCTAATGGACTGTAAGACTGCTGTATTTTTCAAGTCATTCTTAAGTACCTCAAGATAAAGCTTCCAAATGAGTACAAATGATGCCATTTATCTTTTGTCAAGTAACTATACTAAGTACCTCTGAAGAAACAAAGCACAAAAAACATGAACATGCTATTTATGCTTATTTTATGCATTTTTTTATAAAGCTTTATTTTTGCACTTTGTGAGGTCCAGGTTTTTATATCTGGTGGACATGCAGTAAGGTTTATCAGTATAATTTTAGCTATTTGCTTATTGATCTTTCAGGTTGAAGCTGCTGGTCTGATCAGCCACCCTCCCTGGAAGCTAAAGATCATCCAGCTGTTTGAGACTCAGAGGGTACGGCATGGTATGATGGTCCTGGGGCCTAGTGGGGCTGGAAAGACTGCTTGTATACATTCATTGATGAGAGCCATGACAGGTATATGATACACAAATATGTTGTAAGTTAACTGTTTTTGATTTTTTTTTTTTTGTATTTGTGAGAGACAAAAACTCATGCTTGGTAGAAGTTTTTTAATACTCATCATCACAGCATGTGGTTATGCCTCAGTCTTTAACTTTTTAGTTCCATATTTGTTTCATGTTATGCATATTATTAGGGAAAACACAGATTTTCCAATAAACTGTCAAAGGTTTGATTTGTGATGATGTGAAAGTTATTGAAGTAGTCAAAGCAGTAACAGTAGTACATATTGATGTATTGTTTTTTTTTATATGTAAAAATTATGGGTCAGAGCCCAGGTACCAGAAAGCAAAAACAAACAGCAAACTATGAGGATAAAAGAAACTGCTGAAAATTTTAAACAGCTAACTTAAAAAATGATAAGTTCACTGTCTCAGGCCATGTATTATTTTGCCAGAGTGTGGTCAACCCCATAGAGAAATGCGAATGAACCCTAAAGCCATCACTGCGCCGCAGATGTTTGGTCGACTTGATGTGGCCACAAACGACTGGACTGATGGCATCTTCTCTACACTTTGGAGAAAAACACTGAAAGCAAAGAAAGGTCAGAAAAGTTTCTCACTCAAACCACATTATCTGTTGCCATGAAAGGTGGGCAATATTACAAGTGTGTGTGTGTGTGTGTGTGTGTGTGTGTGTGTGTGTGTGTGTGTGTGTGTGTGTGTGTGTGTGTGTGTGT